TGGGGGGCAATGCTCCCTGGGGTGGGGGAGCTGCAAAATCTGAAAGCCCTGAACCCTCGAGCTTCCTCTTCTTGTTTTTCTCTATGCATCTTCCTCCTTCTCCACCCTAATCCCACTTCCTGCTTCTCCTCTCTCCATTGCTTTGCCCCTCTGTGTTGGGAATGCTGTTGAGGAATGGTTGCTCAGTACAGGAGGACATGAGGAAATTCAGCTGATTGAGCTAGAATTGAGCTAGACGTGAGGTAGGATTGAGAAAGACAAAAACAGCACAAGAATGAGGAAGCTGTAACCACAAATGCATACATGAGGGAGCTTTTGTAAGTGCATACACGAGGGAGCTTTTGCATGGTGGGAGGCTGACCGTTATTGCAATATGGGGGGCTGACCGTTATTATTAGAAAAGGCAAGATCAGCAGAGGTATGAAGAAATGTAACYGCAAGTAGGTACATAGGGGTGGGATTGACCATTATCGCATTGTCCAATGATGAGCTATGCTTTTGCAATATGTATGAGCTTATTATCTTGATTATAAAAGGGCAGAGGTCCCAAAATAAAATGGAGACTTGTTGATCATCATCGGATGTGCTTGTCTTCCTTCGATTCTTACAACACCTCTGTATTTCCCTTTTTTCCTCCATCCATCCTCCTCCTCCTCTGTTCACCCCAAGCTCTCACATCCCACGGGAGAAGTGGAGATGGAGCCAGGATGGATGGGCAGGGTGGGGTTCTTGGCTTCTCCCACCCACTGCGGGGGAACTCAACCCAGGGAAAAGGTGCAAAATTGGTGGGTGGAGATCAAAATTTGGGGGTTGTGGTCACCCTGGGTGGGGGCTTCCACCCCTCTGGTCTCATTGCAGAAGCCTGGAGAGTTTGGAGCAGGGAATGCAGAGATTGATGGGGGATCCCAGGAGGTTTTAGAGGCAGGATGAGGGCTGGAGTGTGAGACCCTCAGTGGGGGGACTGTTAGACTGGAGACCCCAGATTGTCCCCAGGGTTTGAGAGGTGTCAGCACCTTCTGCTTCAGCTGGTGGTTCTGGGGGGACCTGGACTACCTGGGGCTCTTCCTGCGGCCAGAGAACTCACAGGGACCCTCCTCCAGGTGGCTCCTACAGCTGTTCCTGGAGCTTGGGGTTCACGGTGAAGCTCTTCCCATAGTCTGGGCATCCATAGGGTCTCCACAATGTGGATCCCCTGGTGCCTGAGGAGTTTGGGGCTCCTACCAAACCTGTTCCTGCACTCCTGGCCCATGCAGGGTGTCCCTCCCATGAGATGTGACCTCTGTCCAAGGCTTGGGCAGACACAGCACTTCTCCCCCACTTGGATCCTGCACTGGGAGATCAGCTCCATGCTCGGACCAAAGTTCTTGCCACAGGAGATCACTGTCTTACCATGATGGCAAGTTTGGGGTCCCCACACCCCTCCCACCCCCACAAAGGTCCCACCCTCCATTATCCCTC